AAACCACAATTATATATAAAAAGACTATTCACTCAAAACCCGTTTATAGTATTTATTTTATTTTTTCAACAAATCATCAAATCCATAATTATAATAATAATTAACAATTATCATATTAAATGTTCACAAACATTTCATATTTCATTGGGAAATATGGATCATATTTTGGGCACCGGTATTTTTGTTACATTCATTTTCTTAATGGTAAATATATTTGCAATGTTGTGTTTACTTGTAAATTATTATAACTATAGAAATGGTATAAAACCCACGGATTTGAAAGTATTTCATATGATTTCGGGTTTTATTTCGCCCAAAAGTATCGGTTTGTATGATAGCCTATGGGTCTATAAATTGTGCCGAAAATGTCATTATTTATTAAAATTTATAAATTATTTATTAATATTTACAATTCTGGTATTAATTATAATACTCTCTATTATAATAAAATCATATACTATTAAAAATATATTCTTAGTCACACTTTGTATAACATGTCCAATGGCAATTATATGCTATAATTTGTATGGTATTTTATTTTATCAAATATTCTATTATTACATTATAATATATTATTTAGAATATAAAATTGCAACAATTAATAATTCATTAAAACATTTAATCTTAAATAAACCTAGCATGAAACATTTCACATTGTTAAAATATATGAGAGATTTAAACACAATTTATATGGAAATCAGTGAATATAACAGCAATTATTGGTCTAAATATTTACTAATAGTCTGGTTAACCTTTGGTACAATTATAAGTTACCTGGTATATTTCACTTTATTTGGCTCTATTACATTTATCATACGACTGGCAACATTAAGTTATTTCCTGTACTATTCATTAATACTTGTGTTTATAATACAAATCTCGTCTCAACTCTACATCGAAACCAATAAAACTTATAAATTATTAAATTCTCTCTATTTATTAAAACATAGATTTAATGTTCACATCAAACTTAAGGTATTTTTAAATAAATTATTTTGAAATATTATAATTTTTATATATTTCATTTAGTTACTGAATCTCATGGAAAAACTTGGTTTAAAAAGGATTGGCTTTTATTGTTGGAAATTGTTTATTGTAAACCAATTCAAGGGATACGAGGTATTCATTTAAATTAATATTATTAAATGATTTATATAATTTTCTTATTCCAAGATAATATCGCTGACAATATTGATATTTTTGAAAATATCTGAAAAGTAACTTATCACTTTATTTCTTAGAAATATTTGTTTTGTTAATATGAATATTAAACTTAATTTTTAATAAATAGGCAAAAAATTACACAATAATATCATTGTATTATGTATACCCAAATAATATGTTTTAATATTTATAAAATTCAAACAGTAATATGTAATACAAAATAATTATCTACGAATTCAAAACAATAATATAACTTTTAATTAAAAAAATAAATTATTAAAAACATTGTACAAACATACAAAGTATGTGTTAATAAAATAATATTTTTAGTTAATAAAATTATTATTTTAAAAAACTAATTAAAGATCAAAACCGTAATATTGAATTATTTGATAAAAAAATGTTATATGAAACGTATTGGTTTATTAAAGTTTGTTTTATTAATTAAATTATTGCCATAAAATTTTTAAAAATAAAATTATTAAAATTATGTTATAATTAATAATAACTTATTTATATTTAATATTAATTATATCAACCTCAAGCCCATTCTGTATTAATTTTACGATGTCTACTAACAGCCAAAATTTTTTTGAGAACCTTGCTTACAGCCATGGCAATGGATTTATACCCGGGCCCTATGAACTTACTACCCTGACTAATGTCGCGACAATCACCGGGTAATAGCCGATGAAATCTGCCGCCCATTTGCGCGTCACGTCGTCGTCGAAAAGGACGACAATTTGTTTGTGATACTCCTTGATTGCGCTCTAAATTGTTCATGCTCAGTTAGAAATTACATTTACAACATGCATAGAAATTATTATTTTTTATTTTGGAGCAATTCGAAATAAAAATAAATCTATATTAAAATAAATCTATATTATTAAGTTAAAGTGATGGTACGGAGGACCGGTATCTAAACATATGACGTACCAGTATATAGTGACGCTATAGTGGAGGGGAAATTTTTACACATTTAATTTGTTTATATATAAAAGGGGTGATGGTCTCATTCTTCACACTTTTTTATCAAGCCATAGGCAACTGGACATAGAGAGAGAGAGAGAGAGAGAGAGAGAGAGAGAGAGAGATCTTATTAAAGGGTTAGGTGGAAGTTTGTACAATGGAGGCGGGTAAATGCGTTAGGTTAGGAGGAGACAGGTAGAGGGTTATATAGTGAAAGCATGTTAGTAGACTAGCTAGGGAGGGAAGTTGTTTTGTTTGACACTTCGTATGTACTTAACCCCATCGTATGAACCCAACGGATACCCTACTTGGCAGTCATATGAAGTGAAAATGTACAAATACAGTACCAGAGCGCGCTTCCCAGAGTGGCATTGCTTTCATTGCCAAGAGCCTCGTTCAGGAAGCCCAGGGTGTTGATGGCGACCGTATTAACATGGTCACTCCCGAGTTTGGCTCTGATACATTGGTCATTGCTATTCTGTCCGGGCGTTTGCACAGATCTGGTGTCGTCTTATTAAGGAACTCCGGGTTGAGGTAAGTACTGATCATCAAATAACTGACGCTGTGTTTCAGACCTCCGAACCAATTGGCGATCATTTCCAGCTCTTTGTAACTGGATATTTATTTTTTTAATTAAATTTCTCTATTATAGTATGTTTTTTTAAATGCCTTAGCTTTGAATCGTTTGCAAACTGTAAGCAATATATTATATAATAAAATGCAAAACACCCCGCTTACTAGGAATCATCAACAATGGTGTAGTCGCCCCTCCACCTACAAAAGCCCACCATTCCCTCCTCGGTGTTCCAAAGCGAGTGATTATTATGGTGCGATTGTGGCCGGAGTGGGACAGTTAGCTGATTGGTACCCACCAAATAAGGTTGTTATTAATAATATTGAAAATATTATAACTAGGATATAATACATTTTAATTTTAATATGCTGAAACTTTTATGATTTACTTACAGTTACACATATTATTGTTTGCTTTTTAATAATTTTATTAGACACTTTTTATTGTTTGCAATTTATAATGTAGGCTTTGTTATATTTATATAAAATGATAAACAATGCACTAAATGTGTTAGGGTTAGTTATCTTATAAGATATTTCTGGTTGAAAGTGAAATAAATATGTTATTGTGGTATTGCAATACATGGTGCTGGATAAATTCATTGTAATATTAAATGTGTTGAATTTTTACTTATAATTATATTTATATGAAAATAATATAGTAACTTTCACAAAAAATAACTTAGAAAACAAAATTGTCATTTAAATTTATTTCTAGCTGAAGAAATTATATTTTCAAAACAAAATATTGAATATAGTAAAAATAGTTTTAATCTGTAATTAAAAATATTAATTCGAAATACGGAAAAATTTCATGATCACTTTTAACAAACTGTAATATGCACATAATATGCACTACAAATACTTACTTTCTGATTAAACCTAATTTATAATAGCACACTACAGATAAAAAAGGATTTCTTACTTCTATTAAAAATCTGATTTATTGTGTAATATATGAACCTCAGTTATTTATTAAATTGTATATTAATTTAAACTTGTCCAATAGGTTTTTGTAAATTTCTAAGAACTAGAACGTAAATACAAAATCATTGTTACATAGTAATTGTTAGTAGCTTATAGTCAAATAGCTATTTAGAAAAGGTATGACAAACTTATTGATAATTGGTAGAAATAACATTTATTATATTTAACAAGGCAATCTGAATAAGAATTTTAAAAATTAATATTTGATTTAAGTTATATAATTATATAATAACTTAGTAGTAATTAAACATTAAAAGATATATGAGGGAAACACAATTATTAAATTATAAATAGTCAATTTTATAAATAAATACAATTTTTTAAAACAATTCAAAAATAAAATATAAAGTATATTTGTAATGAAATTAATTTTACACAATATTATATTTTTAACCATATCCTAATAAATAAAATAAATCATTTTGCCATTAAAAATATTTATTTAAAGAATTTTTATACATTGAAAAATTAATTATTATTAAATCATTTTTAATGCAGTACATTTCATTTACTATTGTATAATAAATAGATTTATAAAGCAAGATATTAAAAATATAATAATTAAATGCCTTGTTAAACAAGTTGTGATTAGCCAGACCACGTGAACATATGGAGCAAAGTTTACTTGTTAATATTTTGAAAATGTTAGTTATTGCAAAATAAAAGTTTTTAAAATCCTTAAAGGACCTAGAAACGGACTTTACTGAGAAGGGTTATTCTTAACAAGGATATAAGTGATAACTAAAAAGGTTTACGGTAAATTACAATACAATTAACTTTATATAGAGATAAGAATTTACATATGTTTTTAAAAATTATACATCCAGGTAAAACTTATTTTGCCCTGAAACCGGATTAGCCTTGTAGAAACATAAGAAATATTTATTGTTAATTGATTAACAACTTAATAACAAATTAATTTCTTATTTTTAAAATTTTATTATTTTTAATTAAGATATTGTATAATTATTTTTTTAATTTAAAATACAGTTTCATTATTTGTACCCGATAACCAACTTGGTAGTAAATAAAGTAAAAAATAAAACTCTCATAATAATAGTAATTTAATCAATAGTGTGTTACTTATTTTCAGATTAGTGATGATAAAATTAAATATCTTAAGCCACCTTATTAAATTTGTATTTCACTAAAATTGGTTAAATAAAGTACATATGTATATTTAAGTACTAAGTGCATTAAAAGAGCATGCTTTGAAAAAATATAACAATACTTTTAGTAAAGTACCGGGAATCTATGAATTCAATAACAAATTTTATCTGGTTCATCTATAACCACGTAAAACATATGTCGAAATTCATCCGCAAAAATCTACCTGATTTTGAGGTATAAATACGGGAGCGAACACTACTGGAAATCACCTTACAACTTATTCTTAAGTAAAATTAGAAATAATTTTAGTAAAAATAATCAAAATGTTGAAGATTGTGTGCTTGGCCCTATTCATCGCCGCTGTCTCAGCCGGCATCCCCTACAAGGACTGCGGTATGTTTTATTTAGCAAGCTGCCTAAATATATGATTACAATAATCAATTTTATTTCAACTAGGACACGCCGAGGTGAGCAACGTTGCCATCAGCGGCTGCACCACCAGCCCCTGCACCCTCCACAAGGGAAAGGAGGTCACGATCGACATTGACTTCACCGCCAGTGAGTAGTTTTATATTAATATTAGACAACCACCATTAAATATATATTTAGCTAAATTATTTGGCAAACATAGAAACTTGATCAACGTAATTACTTGAAATGTAAAATTACTAAACAAGGTTCACCCGTAATATGACCGTAACACACTATTCTAATAACTACTGAATAACCAATTGATATTTACTAACATTCTAGTGGTTAATACTAATCTAGCTTAGTCTCATTTAATAAGTAACTTCATAATTAAACTACAAAAAATTTTAAACATTATTTCAAAAATTATCATTGACCATGTTACACTTTGTTGCCTAATTAGACCAGGACACTGACAAAGCCGAGTTTAGCCTACACGCCATTATTGACGGTCTCGACCTGGACTTGGCTACTCTGATCCCCGACTTCGACAAGGTTAAGGACGGCTGCAAAGACACCCCCTGTCCCATCAAAAAGGGCGACAAAAAGAAGTTCTCGGCTAAGATCACTATTCCCGGCGCCACCCCTACCATCGAGGCTGACGTTAAGGCCAGACTTATCGGCTCGACTGGAGACCTGTTCTGTGGTACCGTCCACGGAGACATCAAGGACTAAATTATTTTATCTAATTCGATTATTTAATTTAATTTAATACCACACAATTTATTTTCAACATATGGAAATAAAATAATTCAATTATAATTGGTTTTGTTTGTAATTATTTTTTGCATTACTGAGCAAAACTCACTTTTGACATATTTGGTAATTTTAGGATTTTACCATGGTAATACTATGGTGATAGAGCAGGTCAAAGTTTGCATTTTTACATTGAATATTGCCATTGGAAAGGGTTTTGATATTTCTATTTTGTTGTCTACGTTTCCAATGGCAATATTCAATGTAAAAATGCAAACTTTGACCTGCTCTAGGTCAGTTATTTTAATAAATATTTGAAAAGTTTAAAATGTTAACCTTGTTCATTTTTTGAGTTCTATTCAGAGAACTGATTAGATTAATACAATAACTTCTAATATAGTCACAATAAAATACCTACCTTTCCTCCCGGTGCTCTGATTGATTGAATAAAATATTTTTATATTTTATATTGATAGAGAATTAAATTATTTACATTTTCCATATCATAACTTTTTTAAATTCCTATTCTAGTTGATGCTATAAATTGTAAAAAGTTTTATTTTTAGACATACCGGGCCTCCCAAACCAATAATTATTGAGTTTTGGATAAAATAATTTTTCATGTGTCTCCTACTGATGTGAACTATCATTTGCCAAGATGTGAATTGTAGTTTTTAAGTTATAGAATATTTTACATAAGGGACCATTCAATAAGTACATACGCACGAGGTGGAGGGAGGGGGGTCAGGTCAAAAGCATATGAAAGCGTATGTTATTTGGGGGAGGGGTCCAGTGAGAGTCGACGTACATTTTGAAGGGGGTCATAGAGAGATTTTATGATTTTTTCTAAGGATTTAATTCATATCAATGGTTTAAATCTTAATCTGTGATAAAGCTAGATAAAGACTTTTGACAAATATTTCATTAAACATATGTTTGAATTCATATTTAGACTAAATTTGAGTGTAAAATGTGTTTTTTGAGTACAATTTTACAAAAATCAGAAATTGAGCAAATTCTGACAGATATTTTGCCACACGAACTGAGAAATCAATTAAAAGATGATAATAGTAATTGTCCATGCATATTCGAAGTAAGCAACAGTAAGAAAAATTAAAAACTAATATAAAAAATTAATAAATTGGAGGGGGGTTGGCGAAAATGTCCGTATGCATTGGAGGGGGAGTATCGGTTCTGCGTACGACTTGCAACAAGGGGGGTCAATGTTTGGGCCAAATTTTGCGTACGTACTTATTGAATGGCCCCTAAACTACCTGTGCTCGAATCAAGCTGTCTCTTCGGGGACACATGTAAAGCTTAAAACCATAGTTGGGGTTTAAATCAAGTAAAATCAAATGATCTAGTTAAGAAATAATTTAATTTTTACTAAAGCATGATATATTCAATTTACGAAAATGAATTTATAAAAAATACGAAATATATTAAGAAATAAATAACAAATATAAAATAAATAAAAATTTCTCATATTATACTTTTAAAAAATACAAATCCAATTTAGTTGCAAATCCAAGTGTTTTTGATAACAACCCGATTATATGAACACAAATAACTTTTTCGAATAAGATACAGTTTGATTTAGGATTATATAAATAATAAATTATGTATACTTAAAAAAGATTTTATGTTAATTATATATTTTAGTTGAATGACCATGACAATGAAATTAAAACAGGCCTTTTATAAAACTAATCTTTATCAATCAACATGCACTATATAATTTATTGGTTTAAGTTTATTATTAATTTTACAAAAATTATTAGTTGTATCATCCAATAATGACTTGATCACAAAATTGTGCATATACAAATAATACGATTGCAAAGTTAATTAATTTATGGTTTATACATTAATATCTAAAATTGTTTAAGTAGGTAACATCGAGGGACAAAAGCAAATTGAGTGGTTATGATTGTCATGAATAGCTAGCCAGTCACAAATTATACATTTTGAATTGACTAAACTTGAAGAATTTAGTAAATTGCTGAATTTAGCTTGCTGAATTCACTTTCAACCATTGCTGACATACTCATTATGTCATTAAAATAACATCGGATTAAGGTATGTACTGATCATCAAATAACTGACTCTGTGTTTCAGGCCTCCGAACCAACTGGCGATCGTTTCCAGCTCTTTGTAACTGGATATTTATTTTTTAAAATTAAATTTCTCTATTATAAGTATGTTTTTTTAAAGGCCTTATATATAAAGCCATATATAATATTATATAATAAAATGCAAAACACCCCGCTTACTAGGAATCATCAACAATGGTGTAGTCGTCCCTCCACCTACAAAAGCCCACCATTAGAGAGAGAGGGAGGGAGAGAGTTATTTTTTAATTAACACTTTAATTAAGCATTAAAAATGGCTATGATTTATATTTCTTGTTGGGCTCTAGAGCCCATATTTTTAAAAAATTTTAATTCAATGTCTAATTCAGGGTTTGCTTCATTAGTTGAGGAAAATCCGGGGGAGAATTGAGTGAGTAATTTAAGAATCGATTCCAGAATTACTTTTATGAGCCTAAAACCCATGGTTTTCCCACTAGTCTTACTATTGAAGGAAAATCTTGTTTAATTATAGCTGGATTATAACTTTGCATGTAATATAGTTTTGTAATGTTTAACATAGTGAGGAAGAGCTTTAAACTGAGCAATATATACAAGTCATGAGTGAGTGAGTAAGAGAGAGACTTACTAAAATGAGCTAATTGACATGTTATAATCATGTTTTTAATTATCCGATAATAGTTTAAATGCTATTTTCGAGGGCTATCGCGGGTTTCTCGGAGTATATATTATAATATCTAAGAAATGTATAAATAATTAAGATTAAAAAACTACAGTACATGCCCAAAACAGTGAATGCAAATACTACAATACTAATTACTCCGTGCATTGTTGACTCGTTGAGTTTCGCAGTATGAATGGCTCTATTGCTTTAAAAATCCTATAAAGGTTACCAAAACATAATTACCATATATATCGGGCCTACCATACGGGAGTCCATGCCCACAGGTTTGAGGGCGTGGGCTAAATGCATGCAAATCATAGAGGGTATGGCGTGGAAACAGTGTATCTTATTATGCAACACAGGGTGTAGGAAATCCGGGAAGATATACGGAGAGTAATGTAAACAACGATTCCGACCCTGACATTTTTTATTAGACCTGGGCTAATTTACTATACAATTAGGAATTTAATTAATGTATCATAAATATTATATTAATAACATTTTGGTACAGTTTTTAAGTTTAAAAGTAGCTGTTTCACGGTGCGACACCCTTTAAATTAAATATAACCAATTGTAATCCAAGAGTATTTACATAATTAAAGTACAGATTTCTATTAAATAAAAATTAATGTATAGCTTGAATTTAAAAAAGGTATTTAAAATACTTCACAACAAAAATATGTTTTTAAGGAGGTATTTTAATTATCAAATATTTGGCATTAAAACCTTTTAATTATAAAAATTATTAGAAATATTGTGCAGTAGTAACAAATGTGTTCATATTAAATTATATTTTTAATTAGTAAACATGTTATTTTTAGAAAACTAATTAACAGTTAATACCGTAATCTAAAATTATTTAGTAAAAATTTAATATGAAATGTAATAAATAGTTTTATTAAAAATTTTAATTTTTAATTAAATGGTATTATTAAATATTATTAAATTTTTTACATAAAGTTCTTAATAATAATATACTTAATAATAATTATATTAACCTATCATTATATCTAAATTTAATTAGTCTATCATAGACATTACAAAATTCAATAAAGGAAATCAATAAAAAAAATTAATATAATTTAATAATTTTAATGTAATTAATCTGTTGTTCATACTAGGAATTTTATATTAGCATAATTAATCTTGCCATAATATTTCTAAAATTTTTATTTATTAATTTATTTATTTAGATTGACATTTTCTTTATTTAATTCTACAAAATAGTTTTATTTTGAACTTTAAAATTGACAATTTTAGGACAATTTTGCCAATTTTTGGGATTAAAAAAGTTGAGACCACTCGCACATTTAATATCAGTTACCTGTCTCTGGTGATTATACTTAACAAGCCAATAATTACGACAATCACTACAATCGGCGTTAGTAATTGAGATATAGTTACCAGGGTTTAATCTCAAAAAATCATTATAAAAATCTTGATTCAAATAGGTAAACGCATTATTATCCATAACTAACGTGGTCTTAGTTTTATCATCGCTGAATGTATACCGTGTAAGCCATGCGTTATTATCCAGTTTATTATTAGCCAAGTTCATATATAATAAATTACTTGAATTAGACAGACCAAACGCGTAATCACCAATGTCCCTTATGAGATTTTTACTTAAATCTAGAGATGTAAGCTTGTTCAAATTTTTAAACGCATGCGCACGAATAGTATCAAGTTGCCCATTACTAATGACGATACCAGTTAACTCAGCTAGCCCGTTAAACGCCGACTCTGATATTTCGGTAAGTTCGGTACCCACCAATTTTACCGAGGTAATAGCAGTTAGCGAGTTTATTAATTTAAACACATCGTACTCTGGGTCATTTATGATGGGCGTATTTAAAATGTACAAAAATCTAGTCTTGAGCTTTGACTGGGGCCCGAAGGCGTCGACATTAATTCGTTGCAGACTTTTAGCGCCATCTATGGCTATATTATTGAAACTGATATCTTGAACAAAATTAGGAGGCAAACTTTCAATAACAGTATTATTTAGCATAAACGCGGCATAATTTTTATCCTGGCCGTCCAACTCTTTGCTTAATGCGCTGAATATGTAGTTCAGATTCAGATCCCTGTCCCCCAAACAGGATATCGCATTTCCGGCTAGGTCATTTGCATCCCGGTATTTGTCTTGAAATAGGCAAACACATGGTGCGATTGTGGCCGGAGTGGGACAGTTAGCTGATAGGTACCCACCAAATAGGGTTGTTATTAATAAAGATGAAAATATGATAACTATGAAATAATACATTTTAGTTTTAATATGCCTAAATTTTTATTATTTACTTACAGTTGCACATAATATTGTTTGCTTGTTAATAATTTTATTATGCACTTTTTATTGTTTGCAATTTATAATGTAGGCTTTGTTATATTTATATAAAATGATAAACAATGCACTAAATGTGTTAGGGTTAGTTATCTTATAAGATATTTCTGGTTGAAAGTGAAATAAATATGTTATTGTCGTATTGCAATACATGGTGTTGGCTAATTTCAGTGTCATATTAAATGTGTTGAAGTTTTTGACTTGTATTTATATAAAAATAATATACTTTAGCAAACAAGCTTATTAGCAAATTAGCTTTAACAAAAAATACTTTTGAAAACAAATTTTAAAATATATATTTAGATAGGGAAGTTATATTTTCAAACCAAAATATTTAATATAGTAAAAATAGATTTAAACTTTTATTAAACAAATAAAATAGAAATACTGTATATTAAAAAATATTTAACAATTTGTAATATGTACACAATAATATTATGCACTATAAATTCTTACTTTCTGATTAAACCCAATTTATACTAGCACACTACAGATAAAAAAGGATTTCTAATTACTATTAGAAATCTGATTTATTTTGTAATATATGAAACTCAGTTATTTATTAAATTAAGTATTAATTTAAACTAGTCCAATAAGTTTTTGTAAATATTTAAAATATAGAGTAGATTTTTAATGAAATTAATTTTACCATTAAATTAATTTTACGCAATTTTCAACCATATCCAAATAAATAAAATAAATCATTTTGTCATTAAAAATATTTATTTAAAAGAATTTTTAAACATTGAAAACTTAATTATTATTAAATGATTTTTAATGCAAAACATTTCATTACTACTGTACAATAAATAGATTTATAAAAATGACATATTAATAAAATAATAAGTAAATGCCTTGTTAACCAAGTTGTGATTAGCCAGACCATGTGAACACAAGGAGCAAAGTTTACTTGTTAATATTTTGAAAATGTAAGTTATTGCAAAATAAAAGTTTTTAAAATCCTTAAAGGACTTAGAAACGGACTTAACTGAAAAGGGTTATTCTGGACAAGGATATTAGTGATAACTAAAAAGGTTTACGGTAAATAAACGATACAATTAACTTTATAGAGTGATAGGAATTTACATATGTTTTTAAATACACGAGTTATCTATACACATGTTTATTTTTTAAAATTATACATCCAGGTAAAACATTTTTTGCCCTGAAACCGGATTAGCCTTGTAGAAGTATAACAAATATTTATTGTTAATTGTTAATTGATTAATAACTTAATAACAAATTAATTTCTTATTTTTAAAAAAATATTATTTTTAATTAAGGTGTTGTATAATTATTTTTAAAAAATTTTAAATGCAGTTTCATTATTTGTACCCGATAACCAACTTGATAGTAAATTAAGTCAAAAATAAAACTCTCATAGTAATAGTAATTTAATCAATAGTGGGTTAATTATTTCCAGATTATTGATGATAAAATTAAATATCTTAAGCCACCTTAATTAAATTTTTATTTCACTTACATTGGGTAAGTAAAGTGCAAATGTACATCTTAAGTTTACGGTACTAAAGGGCATACTTTCAAAAAATATAACATTTGCACTTAATAGTCCAATACAGTACAGACGTTTTTACATCTATACGGTACCCATATATCCAAGGTCCATTTGCTGCACTTTTATTTTCAAGTATATTATAAAAATTATAAGTGTTTTGATTATTATTTCTATATTTGCTGGCATTGATTGAAAGTATTCCCAATACTTTAGTGGAGGTTACAGATAAGTATGTGGGTCATTCACAAAATACGTAAATATGAAATTAATACCATTGTATTACAATTAGCTTATCATTATATCACCATTGTAACCTTTGTAAATCTAACCTTTTAAGTAACATACAGTTGTTTTGAATTAACAAAAACTTATCTAGTATCAAAAATTTTATCATAAAATTAAACAATACCTTTTGTAAAGTACCGGGAATCTATGAATTCAATAACAAATTTTATCTGATTCATCTATAGCCACGTAAAACATATGTCGAAATTCATACGCAGAAATCTACCTGATATTTAGGTATAAATACGGGAGCGAACACTACTGGAAATCACCTTACAACTTATTTTTAAGTAAAATTAGAAATAATTTTAGTAAAAATAATCAAAATGTTGAAGATTGTGTGCTTGGCCCTTTTCATCGCCGCTGTCTCAGCCGGCATCCCCTACAAGGACTGCGGTATGTTTTATTTAGCAATGTGCTTAAATATTTTATTACAATATCAATTTTATTTCAACTAGGACACGCCGAGGTGAGCAACCTTGCCATCACCGGCTGCACCACCAGCCCCTGCACCCTCCACAAGGGAAAGGAGGTCACGATCGACATTGACTTCACCGCCAGTGAGTAGATTTGTATTAATATTATACAAAAACCATTAAATATATATAGTTAATTTGGCAAAAATAAAAACTTGATCACTGTAATTACTAGAAATTTAAAATGACTAAACAAGGCTGACCCGTAATGTTACTGTAAAAAAAATATTTTAACATATACTGAATAACCAATTGATATTTACTAACAAACTAGTGGTTAATACTAATCTAGCTTACTTGTTAGTCTCATTTAATAAGTAACTTCATAATAAATTACAAGAAACTATAAACATTATTGCAAAAATTGTATAAATTATCACTGACCATGTTACACATTTTCTGCCTAATTAGACCAGGACAGTGACAAAGCCGAGTGGAGCCTACACGCCATTGTGGGAGGTCTTGACCTGGACCTGGCTACCCTGATCCCCGGCTTCGACAGAGACGGTTGCAAAGACACCCCCTGTCCCATCAAAAAGGGCGACAAAAAGAAGTTCTCGGCTAAGATCACTATCCCCGGCGCCACCCCTACCATCGAGGCTGACGTTAAGGCCAGACTCATCGGCGGCAGTGGAGACCTGTTCTGTGGTACCGTCCACGGAGACATCAAGGACTAAATTATCTTATCTAAGTCAATTATTTAATTTAATTTAATACCACACAATTTATTTTCAACATATGGAAATAAAATAATTCAATTATAATTGGTTTTGTTTGAAATTATTTTTTACATTACTGAGCAAAACTCACTTTTGATATATTTGGTAATTTTAGGATTGTACCATTATGCCTAATAATAGTGATAATGCGGTTAAGTATATATTAATATTTGTACTAGGTTAATAACTGTTGTTTTGATTTTTTAATTTTCAAGAAATATAATTTATAATTATCTGAACTGAACAACTCTGATATATCCAACAATCATATTGTTTAATAAATTATTG